CTAAAAAAATGTATTATGACAGATTACCAGTGCGTATAGAAATGATATACTGTTAAATGTTCTGAAAACTTGTGATTATTTTGATAATTTTTGCTGATTATATCCAATTTTAGAAATATATTTACAGTATTAAACTTCAATTTAACTGTTCTATCTAGTAAAGAAAAGGGAAATGCTTTGGAAGTTCCAATAAATTTGCAATTATATATATTTTTTAAAATAGTAATTTCATGATGATTCACAGCTACAGGGTCTTAACATTATTTTACATTAGATGTGTGAATTAACTCTGGATTTTTTGTAATTTTATTGGTATTTTTATTTACTTCAAAAATACAGAAAAAAATCTGTAAAATAAAAAAAAATGCCAAATTATAATTATCATTATTTTAACAGTGTAAGAAGCAGTTCTCCATATGATCCATCTTTAGCAGCGGGTTTGTCAAACCAAGCAGCAAAAGGCTTGTGAGCAGATGCCACTCTGCAGCAGCATCATCTCAAACAGCTGCAGCGATTTGTGCTGCCAGAGGCTACAAACATGCTCTGATTCCCAGAGTTAGACAACAAACAGTTTGTCTGTCGTGTCCATCGGTTCTCCTGAGCGGAGGTCAAAGACGTCCCACAGTTCATCCTGTTGAGTCGGACAGATGATCCTCCTGTCCTGTAGCTCTGCTCCTGTCCAATAGAGGGCGCAGCAAACATCCCTGGGGCTCTTTCAGAGGTGGCGTACAGATTAAATTTAGCCTCCTCAGAGGTGAAAATAGCTCTCCTCAGATATCACTCTGACCTTTTTAACTAATCAGGTTTTCCTCGGGCGCCGCTGAAGCCACTGGGCCTCTCCCAGTATCGTGGCACCCAACCGCCTCACGCTTCGTCTTTTGTTTCTGACTCTTTCTTTTGTGGAAGACAATGCGATGCGCTTTTTATCTGCATCCGTCTCCATCCATCTTCTGTGTTTCTGGCCGGTAACTGTAATCAAATCTGAGAGTCTCCGAGAGGCCATGAAGACGACTTCGCCGCGTTCCTCCCTCCGTGCTCCTCCTCGTGACCTCCCTCTTCCATCAGCCCATCTAGCAGCATCCTGCCGGGCCTCGTGAGCTCACGTCCAAATGACATTTAGAAATTATAAATGTTGCTGACCACCGAGAAGATGCTGCGACTGGATGGACAGAAATAGCAGAGAGGAGATAAAGATGGATAGATAGGGGGAGATGGAAACGGTGGAAACAGTGAAGACGCTTTAAACGGAGAGCCGACGGGACTGTGTGACGAGCAGGAGACGAAGCAGACGGCAGAGGACTTGAAATGTTGCAGTGCTGGTTTCCAACGAAAACAGGAGGAGAAAATGAATGACATAAACGTAATTTAAAGTCGTTTAAGCCTGTCCTGCATCTCTATGGAA